ATTTGCCACCCTGATTTCTCTTCTAGAGCATTTTTGATGTGCACAGCATGCACAACCTTCAGCTCGGCGCTGAGGACAAAGGCTGCAGCCACAGGCTGTGTGAGGGGAAAAAGTCCCTTTCTGTGCCTCACCTAACAGTTGAATGTTTATAGGTCTTCCAGTAAACTTTTAAAAGGAAGGAAAATAGGGGTAAAACCACAATGAAAATAATTTTCTTTACTTGGCGGTCCAGTGTTGTTAATGATTGAGGGTGTACAAATCAGAATGGCCCCAAGCTACAAAGCAGCCACCTTGTAAGGGCAGAACCCCCTTGTATTAAAATTCAGGATAAGCAGGTGCCCCTCAAATTCACACTGCAAATAAAGCCCCACCTGTGGAGCAGCCATCCCACCCAATGGCACAGTACAGCTATGTGGCTTCTACCTGAAAACAATGACAGACCCCATGGCACCGCTGATTTTTCTGCATTCACTCCCACACAGAATAAAGTCACAGAGATGCAAAGGAGTGGTGGTCCCACAAAAGAAGAGGAGCTTTTTTTGAACACCCACTGCAGCCTTCCCCATCTGTTTGCACTCACACTGTCTAAGTGGACCAAGCCATGAATTCTAACTTGCTGAACGCTGGCCCTATCTCTGCTCTGCTGCTGATGATAGTGGGACATCACCTGAGCTATGGCCATGCCAAAGTCCCTGCTGAAAACTCGCTCTGCCCTGCATCTCCAATTCCAGGATATTTAAAGCTGTTTTTTAAAACTACAGACCTGCAGCTGAGGTGAGCCTGTGGGTCTGGAAAGGGCTGCTGAGGGCTCCCCCAGCTCTCCACAAGCAGAAGCGATACTGGCGTAAGTTGGAGGTGCAGCCAGCCCAAAGCCGAAAAACCTGTCTGTGGTGCAGCTTCCTCAGCTCTCTTTCACCCTGCTCTTTCCTCACACACAGCCACAGATCAGCTGGAGGTGGCAGCTCATTTCAACCAGCAGGACCTGCTCTGCTGGTGTTGCAAAGGAGGGGTGGTGCTGGTGGGAAAGCAGAAGTGCAGCCTCCCAATGCATGGCAAGGTGAGGACTAAAGGCCAGCATTAGAACAAGGCATAAAGGGCAATAAAATTCTCAGCCCCAGCCTGAATTTCTATTGATCCCAAAATTGGCAGTGAGAGAAGAGGAGGCATTCAGGATGCCATGAATGGCTGCCTTGTGGATTCATTTTGTGGGAGCCACGCATGTGGAAGCCTGTGTCCAGCAGTGGAAAAATCTCACTTAACTATCTTTGTCACTGCCAGCAGAGTCCGGCAAATGTCTAGAGGTTCTAGGTTCAGTTAAAAGTGACTTTTGATAGGGTTCAAGGTCCTCACTGCTAGCAGTTCAAATTAGGTCGTTTCCTGAGAGCTGCCAAGAGGCAGAAACTGAAGAGGTGGCTATTTTATAATCATAATTATACAGTGGCCATAAGCATAAACCACCCCCTAAACATAGAAACCCAACAAACCCCTGCAGATGGAGGCTGGCTAGGCAGCAGAGGCTTGCAAATGCCTGCAAGAGAACAGAGCAAGGATCAGCCTGAACTTCAGGCACATCCCCCATGGAAATGGTGCCTGACTCATATTTATCACTGGGATTTTAGGCCTCACTGCTTTCCCCCCTCCAGGACAATTGCTCTGAACCCACCTTTTGCAAGGCTTGCTTGGGCTTGGAGATTCATCTGAAGAAAAATAGTGGAGAGGTACAGGGAGCTCCTAAAAAGCTGTCTGCAAGCACTTGCTATTCTTTTCTCTTGGTGGGTGGAGAGGGAGAAGTATAGTCATGACTTAGAGAGCCTGTCAAATAAATCCAGGCTTTTCTTTCTAACTGGAACAATTCCTTTAGGAACTCTTTTGGAAGTTACCCTGCAGATAATGGCATCCTCCCCTTCTGCAAACACTCTCTACACCCTCTATGAGTAAGACTGTTAATTGCTGAAACACAGGGATTTAAGTTTTTGAAGTGTACATGAGGAAAGCATTTATTCCAACCCTCCCAATGTGTCAGGCCCACCCTTCTCTTTCTACTGTAGCCAGCTGCTTCCCACATCCTTTCTCCACTTCATGGGCTCACTGTCATTTTTTCCCTGTACTCAATTATGGTGCTCATGTGCTAGGGCTACTGTAAAATGACAGCGTGCTGTACCACAGATGACTTTCTCAGCTCTATTGTAAAGGAGGAAGACATTTGCCAGCAATAAACACTGTCCCCTTGGAAAACCAGTCTCTCCCTGCCTTGGTACACTTCTCGCAGAGCTGACCATGCAGCAAGCTTGAGAATCCCTCCATTCCTGAGGCAGGCTAGCTCCAGTTTTCTGAAATAAGTCTAAAAATCTTGTGGCAAAATTACCTTGTAGATAACCAAATACAGCCTTCCTCAGGACTTCCACTGCTACGTCCTTCCCCTTAGTCAAACACTTAATTTCTTAAGCTTGTTTGTACCAGCTGTTTCCCAGCACAAAACCCCATCTTCTGCATGGTGCTCTGTTATAACAAATAAATAGCCACATCTTTTAGTGGTTTGGTTTTATCCGTTCTTATTTTCTCCCCAGCAGCCAAGGGGCACAGCTGAGAGCAGCCTTGGAGCAATTCCCATCCCTGGAAGTGTCAAAGGCCAGGTTGGAAGGGGCTCTGAGTAACCTGGGATGGCAGAAGCTGTCCCTGCCCATGACAGGGGGGTTGGAAGATGTTTAAGGTCCCTTCCACTCCAAACCATTCTGTGATTTCATGATTTAACAGACTTACAGGCAGTGTTTTAGCTTAGTCCATTACAGGATTTACATTACCAATTACCTCTTTTACCATCCAAATCCAAGAAAATATCTAGACCAGGATTGCTCATATCCCACAGCTCTTTGCTATCCACAAACATCCCATAGATACTGTAATATACAGTGTCACATCTGGCCATAAACCACAGCTATTTTAAGCACATTGACAACAAAGAACTAGCAGCACCTCTGTGTAAAGGAAAAATCTGCTTTTGTTGGGAAACAAAGCTGCTTAAGCCCCATTTTCTTTCTGGAGTGGTTTCTCACATTCCAGGCAGGTTTTAAGGTCTTGACATAGCTGCACCTTTGTTTACTGATGGGGAAGGATGACATGGAAAAGACAAAGTGTTTTACTTTTGTATGTTTTCCTCCATCCTATCTTTTCCTCCCAATAGACATGCCATCTCTAGAATAATTCTTCCGTGCTCCTTCTTTTTTCCCAGCATCAATACTTGCTTCTCTGCTGACCCTCTGAATCCAAGCAGATTCCTCAGAGGCATCCTTCTCTTCCTCCCTCCTGCCCTCCACAAGCATTTCACCAGTGTCAGTCACTCCTGCCACAGCTCTGACACTGTCCTAAGCAGTTTCCCCTTCAATACTGTGATAGCCCCATTCCTGCTTTCCAGAACAATTTATTTTTTGCCCTTTTTGCCTCTCTGTATTAACCTCACAAGTCACATTCTATTCCTGACAGGAACTCGCTCTCTGCTTAGACAGTCAGTGCCACACAGATTTTTAGGGTTACCATTCCTTAGATCCCAATTCTTCAGTAAATTTCATCACAATTGCTCACAGTAAGGTGAAACTTGATGTCATCAATATTCATTACTGAATATTCACAATATTCAAACCACTAAAAGTACTCATTCCAGACTGGCCTGCAGGTCTGAGGCCGAGTTTTTGTATCTGTAATCCATTATTTGCTTGAAGGAAATCCAGGTTTTGCAGGTATTACTTCTTCCTTAAAGGAAAGTAGTACTTGAGTAATAAAGATCAGTTCTTCCCTTTCACACAAAGTAAGACTTACCCATCTGTTGATTCCTCAGAAAACACCCACCCACATGCAGGAAATGTTCAGAACAAGAGTAAAAGATTGGGCTATAGCACTTAAAGACCACATGTGGATTGAGGGTGGGTATCAAAGAGGCAGAGTGTGGCATAAACAGGGAGGGGAAAGCAGCAGCACTGCAAGCTAGACTAAATCCCAGGAAACCCTTCCTCAGCTTCTGTGGAACACAAGAACAGGGGCAGGTATTCACTTCTGGATCTTCAGCTGACCTGGCTGCCAGCTCAAGAACTGCCTCTGCAGCTACTGCCCAAACCTCATGAGCTGGGGTGCTGAGCCTACAGCTGAGTTCTCTTCCCCCTAGTTACAACCTACTGGAATTTCTTGGACTGTGCCAAAAACTGCTGGACCTCAGCCACAGCAGATACTGGCAATCTGAATGCATGCACGAGCATCAAAGTGTTGCCAGCAGAACCAGGGCAGTGATTTTCCTTCTGTACTTGGCACCTCAAATCCCACATCCGTTCTGAGCCCCTCAGTTCAATAAAGATATTGGGGTGCTGGTGCATGTCCAGGGAAGGGCAAAACAGTTGGGGAATGGTCTGGAACAAAACTAAAACTCTGATAAGGGGCAACAGAGGGAGTTGGATGGGGGGGGTAGTTTGTGGGTTGGGCTTCTGCTCCCAGGGACAGGACAAGAGGAAACAGCCTCAAGTTGTGCCAAGGGAGGTTCAGGTTGGACATGAGGAGGAATTTCACTGAAAGGGCGATTAGTCACCGGAAGGGCCTATCTAGGGAGGAGTGGTGTTCCCATCCAGGAACAACTGGACACAACACTCAGTGCTGTGGTGTGGTTAACAAGTGGGTGATTGGTCAAAGGTTGGTCTCTATGACCTTGGAGGTCTTTTCCAACCTAAATGATTCTGTGAACAAGACATAAAAAGTCAGCAGTAAACTTTCCTGATAGCTGACAGTGATTCACTCCAGCTCTTCCAGGTGCCAGGTTCATTCACATCCCCAGAATTATCCAGCTGACAAAAATGCTACTTCTCAGTTCTGCAAGAGCTCAGTGGGGACATGGCTGCTCTCAAATTCCCATGAGAGATTTTCCCCTCCACGCTGTCAAATATAGCCACAAAAGAAAATTAGATCAACTCCTTTCTGGAGTAATTTCAGTCTCTGCAAGACACACAAAAGCATGATTACCATTTGACTTTTTTGAATTATTTTTTTTTAAAGAAGGCCTATGAACACAGAACAGTGCAACGTGTTACAAAGGAGAGTTGCATGGTTCCCTTACACAAGTGACAGTAGGTAACACAAAGGTGACAATACATTCATACATCAGCAGAGCCTGACACCCACCAATTCTGGTATTTCACATAATAAATACCAACCTCCTCAGAGGAGAAAGAGGGGAACAAGCAAGGATTACTCAGACATTTGTATTACCCAGAGGCCGGAGACCAGAAGCTTCCAAGAACACAGATGAGATTGTACAGTAAGTGAGCACCAGGTACAGGAACAGCACATCAATCTGCTGGTAAGCCCATAGGTAGCCCCCACCAGGAAGTATTTTAGAGACAAAAAAGACACTTAAAAGCCATTTAGAGTAGAAATACTGGACAACTTGGTAATTCTTTAGGCTAAGAGTTCCACACTGGTGTCTCTGCTCCCTCCCATACCCATATTTAAACTGAAACAGGACAGCCTCAACTCTGCAACTGCAGAGCTGGACACTTAACTGCTCATGCAACTTTGGTTTATTCCACTTGGAAACCTGAGATTTGGCACACTTGTTGTAAGCCCTTGAGACTGCACCTCACTGGCTTTAGGGAAACAAAGCCAAAAGCCAGCCAGCAAAATAATCCTGAGCATTCACCAGGCAATGTGCCCTGCCAAGGGCCCAAGGCCATGCCAGGGCACAGTTGTGGCAGCAGACAGGCTGATGTCAGGAAGCCCAGCTGGCCCCAAGACAGAGCCCAGCCTGGCTGCATTGAGCTATCACTGCCTGCACATCACCTGTGTGACAGCCAGCCTTCTCCACCCTCCAGGGAGGTGACAGTAAAAGTGTTACAGCAGTGACATTTTAGGAATGTATTTAAGACCTGCTTTCATTCACACACACCAAGGAAAGAGGAATGACCACACCTTCCCTGACATGCTCTGACAGCATCTCCCCTTCCCTTCCAACATGGAGCATTGGCACAGGAGTGCTTTCCTGCATTATCTCAAAAACACTGAACATGTTCTACAACTTCAACTCCTTGCTATGCATCAAACAGTGGGATTATTCAACATAGCAACATCTCCTCTCCCCCACAAACAATACATCTTACTCTTTATTAAGTATCAAATTGTGTCCAACATAAATTACATCCAAATTATGCAAGTTACAATAAAGTCAGATATTTTATGTACAATGTTTGTCTTGAATCAGATAAACCTTTATCATTTTAACCTGTAACATAAAAAGCAAACCTACATCAGTACCAAATAAAGCATTAAAAAGGTAACAAATATATAACGTTTTAGAAATGCTCTCAGAACGCGGAAGTTAATGGTGAGGATTTTTATAGTGCAGGAATCTTGGGTTTACAGCTCTTAGACCATCTCTCTTTCCCTGCGGATGGCACAGCACAGAACCATACTGAATATCATGCCAACAATCTGGAAAGAAAGCAAACAGATTAGAAATCAGGAAAGCAAACATGTGCCTTCATCAGCATGAGGACAAGCTGCTCTTCACAGCCCAGAGGTCACATTTATTCTGTATTCTTACACTTCACTCTGCCACTGCCCACCCCCAATCCCCAAAGTTCATTCCCAGGAATCCCATTCACCTCAGTACTTGAAAATAAATCACAGAATATGTCAAGTTGTAAGGGACCCACAAGGATCTTCAAGTCCAACTTCTGGCCCTGGCACAGCACCAGCAGCTATAAACCACTGCTGTATCTCCTAAGAAAGCTTTGATCATCCCAGCATGTGCTTTTCTCCAGAGAGGTCAAACACAAGTGCAAGTTTTTTTTAGCAGCCCTGTTATTTCAGCCCCCAGCAGAGCCTGTAATTGTTATGAAGGAAAGAGAAGAAGAATCCCCAACAGATATTGGGATTAAGATGTGGGCCAGCAACATGACCAATACATCTTCACTCCATATCTACACACATTGCTGATACGGTTTCACCACTGCTGAAAGTGCAAGGAGGCAGATCCTAATCCAAAACAGAAGCAGGAAAGCCTGAGACATCCTAGCATCTGCACTGCCTCAGGGCCCTGCAGCACACACCCTGATCCTGCTGGGACTTGTCCACAGTGGAGCAGCCTTCTGAGCTGCAGGGCCAGGCACTGCTCTACAAAACTTCTGCTTTGTGTATCCTCTGACCACCCTCTAAATAATCTGGAAACTCACCATCATTACAGCAATGCCAAGGCCAACTGCTCCAATGATGTTGAATTTGGATTTGAAGACATCATCAATGGCATCAGGGCAGGACTGAAATGGAACAGATGGTTCATAAGTGTTTTACACACACAAGGTTCATTTAAAGACTCATCTTTTAAAAGCTGCTTTGACCTGGCCTTTACTGTCACATCCTTAAAGACAGCCAGGGATGGTCCTACACAACAGTTGGTGGAGAAGTTGAAATCTACTCGTCAAGTACCTCAGGCTTGTTAACAGCACCTTGACTACAGCAGGATTCCCCTCTCAATCTGGCTGTCAACACTTCAGATGATGATCATCCCTTATCAAAACAGATTTAAAGCCACTCTTGATATTGCCAATTACTACAGTAATTTTGCAGACACCTCATGAACCCACAGTGCATGGGAACAGCAAGACACCTAGGCTAGGATCCATGCCAGGCGCAGATTCATAGAGGGGCCAGTTTAATGTTCCCTGGACAAAGAATTACCCTTGCAACTAAAAAAAAAAAAAAAAAAAAAAGTATAGTCCACTTCCCAGAACAGACACATACATGCTGGCCAATAAGAAGAACAAGGCACTTTTACAGAGGTATAAATCTTTAAGAGCCTGGTAGCTGGTCAAAGTCTCATCCCAGCTTCTGTCCTGCTTGTTTCAGCAGCAAACATCAGTGAGCTGCTGAAAGCTGCCTTTTTCTGTTGTTCCTTATCCAGTCTGGAAAGAAAGACTGTAGCTGAGATTAAAGGGATATACTGGTAAGAATGAGCCAGTTCAATCAGAATACCAACACAGCACTGATTCTTAGAGGTACACTCAACTACATTTCTTTGATCTTGTAATCTATCCACTGTTTTTCTACAATTGGGAATGGGCATCACAAGATGAAGTCAACAGATAAAGCTAAAACACACAGCAGAATACAAAGAAACAAAACCTGTGTGCAGTCTCAGCTACTCGCACACACTCCAACTCAGACTGCATGGACAGGACTAAAGATACAGCCTCATGTGGGCAGATATGTGAATTGTCAATGAAATTGAAAAAACCCAAGTCAGAATTCCTGCATGGTAAGAACCATAGAAGGACTCATACAAACTGTCCTGGAGCATAAAGCAACAGCACAGAATGTTTGTAAGGAAAAGAGGAAGAGGGGTGGTTCAAAACTACAAAAGCTGTTTTCTCCTGTTATTTGTGGTATACAGGCACCTCTGCAGCAATACTCCAACAGGGAAACCTGATTCACAGAATTGCCTTCACAGTCACCAACTCACCTGAGCAGGCTACCAATGCCTTACCCCGCTCCCTGTCCTTGCTGAAGCTTTAGACTTGCTCCCACCCCAAACTCTACTTCTCCCTAACCAGGAGGGAGCTGACAGCTCCGAGCAAGCACCAAGAAGATGGACTGAGGAGAATAGAGCTCTCAAGGCACTGTGAGGGGCTTTTTTAGGCAAACTTTTGCTCTTCCACTGCCCACCGCAGCAGTGAGTCTGTGACACACAGACTGCACATTTCCTGAGCCAGACTTCCTGCTTGTTCTTTCCATGGTAACAGTTGGTTTGTTTTCCATAAGCAGCCTGATCACAGACACAGACTGCCACACCAGTGTGACATGGGCATTTCCCACAGACTGGGAGGGTTTCCTCTACTGTGTTTCTCACTCTACCCACTGGGCAGAGCTGATGGTGAATCACGTCAAGCTTTACCTTGATAGAGAATGACTCAGACAGTGTCTTTGCTGGACAGGTGTCCATGTAAAGCTGCTCCACAGCTCCAGTAAGGCCACAGCAGTTTAGCTACAACAGAAGACACAAAGACCCCGGTTAAACAATCCTTATTTTTGTTCAGCAATCTGTTAAAAAAAAAGGAAATAATTTACATTAGTTTTTATTACAGATCAAGTCCTGTCACATGACTGCTATAAACCCAATTTTAACAAGCCTTAAATTAAAGGACAAGGTTCTGAAAGGAAGAGCTAGATCTCTTTAAGTACACACAAAATCATTTTGGCAACAGCCTGCGCTCCTTACAGACACAAGGCTGAACCCCTCACAACCACCACCACCTAGTTCTAGACACTTCAGAGGGACAAAAAAAGACATTCTGAATTCATTTATACCACACAAATGCATCTCTGCAATCTTTGGTTTCTTCTAACTAGTAAAAAATTTGTACAGGGGACTAGGTGGCATGAAGAACAGTGTGAGGAACAGCTGCATTACTGTCTAGGTTAAGCAGAACCATATACTTACAGCAAACTGAAATGCTTTCAGGGTGTCTCTGGCACTTGTCTGAGTTCTCTTTCTGTAGGTGTCCATGTAGAACTCCTTTAACTCATCAATAATCTAAGGAAAAGCAAAGATTTGTGTAATAATAGTGTGTTAATGTCATACCTTGTATTAATTATGAAAAACTTGCTTTCAGCAAGTCATCATCAAAACTTCTGCAGCCTACAACACCCATTCTTTTGCCATGTACAAAGAGAGGGTGGACAGAAGGCTCACCAGTTTCAGGTGAGAAATAACTGTACACTGACTTTAACAGCCACACCTAAAGAGGTAAAGACTGTTTCCCCTTCCAAACCTCTGACCTTCTAAGAGGAGTGAGAGAAGCAACTCTTTGCCCACTGGCTGCACAAAAATATTCCCTATTCTACTGTACTGTATAGAAACTGAGGTTTCTGTATTTCCCCATTGTATAATACAATGCGAGCAGAAAAGCAACCCTGGTCACTAAAGACGGGATTTTGAAACAAGACAGAATCTTGACAGGTTGGGAGGAACAAGCCATATCAATAATGCTTCAGATGAAGATACACTCAGCTGTCAGCTGACCCAGCTCCTCTCTGGAAACAGTAAAGCCTCCCAGCCAGGCTGCTTCACCTCACAGCTCAGTCAGGTACTCTCCAGAGGGCACCTCTACCATGGAACAGCCTCTTGGACTCTGGCTTCCCTGCTACAGTCTTGTGTTTAAATACTACAGTTAGATTTTTTGTGTTGTTTTGCTTGAATCAGTCTTTTTCCCTCTCCCCCAAACTCCTTGGTTAATAAGGATGTGACTGGTACAGATGTCAGCAGACTCCTGATTGTGGGCACATTCACAGAATCATGGAGTGTTTGGGGTCAGAAAGAAGATTTCAAGATTACCTAAGTCCTGCACCTCTGCCATGGGCAGGGACACTTTCCACTAGACCAGGCTGCTCAGAGCCCAATCCAACCCGGCCTTGAACACTGCCAGGGATGGAGCATCCACAGATTCTCTGGGAAACCTCTTCCAGCATCCCACCACTCCCAACTTTTAAGAGCAACTTACCTTTTCTTTATTTGAAAATCCCCAGATCCCAGCAGCAATTTCAAGGGCAAAAATCACGAAAAGGAAGAAGAAGAACTAGAAAAGAAAGATCATAATATTCATGAAGGCCAGAGCACCACAAACCAGCATCACACATGCAGGCTGCAAGTTCATCCAGACTTGTGGGAGCTGTCACTCAACCAGGTTGCAGCTGGAGGTCAGAGACATTGGTAACACCAGGAAAAAGGGTCAGCGCGTCTTTCCAGAAGCGTCAGAAAGTCTGGCAGTGCTCTCCAAGCAGCAGACCTGCTTTTTCATCAGTGTTAATTAAAGCAAATCATCTGTTAACTCCAGCTTTGAAGCTGTATAAGTCATTCAGACACATCACAACAGCTGGCACCAATTCTTTATTCTGGTTTGTCACTCCTGTTGCTTTAGGAGTCATTACTTAATTCCTAGGCTTGCTACCAACTCCCAGAGAGCTAATGGTCATTTTGTTGTATATCCCATAAAATACAAATGAAAGTGTTTTGTCTCTCACTGATTACCGGATCCAAAACACCACTATCATTTAGGAGCACTTTAAAGAGGTACTCAGAATTAGAAAGGGCTAGAGTATAATTTTGCAACAAATATTTGAATTTAGGTTCTTCTGTGACACAGAAGGGGAATTGTTTTTTCAGTGGCTATAGTTGTTGTATTGCACTAAATAGTTCACCTAGTTGTTGTTTTTGCACTGGGTGTTTGGTAATTTGCACTGATAACATGGTTTGTCCCATTCCCCCGACCTTAAGCCCCAGCTGTAATGGTTTGTCCCCGTTTTACTCCTCCCCTCACCCCTTCCTCATTTGTATCCCATTGGCTCTGGCTCCTTCCTCTGAGCTTAAAATCTCTCAGGAGGAGACCCCCAAGTCTCTTTTCCTCCTGGGACATTGCCTGGATCCTGAGGTTACTCCTATCAAGGAATACAGTAGGACTTCGGTCCCGAGGAGAAGAGTGCCTCCAGTCCTTGTAAAGGCTGCAAGGGGCCAAGGGTCCAGAGCTAGCTGGATAGGACCTAAATGCCCAGGAGAGATCAGCCTTTACATACAGTAGTTGACTTTTATTAACTAAGTCTTCTGGTTATTTGGATGAGTAGTTTTGCAAGTGTATAGATGTGCATGAATGCAGTAAGGTCTACTGCCTCCCCCCCCCCATCTGAAAACAACGATGTTGCTCTCCAGTAATTGGCTTGTTATCAACTAGAAGAGCTCATCCTGTGATTATGAACAGTAGAGTCTTGTTGTTTCAAGCACCAAATAGCACAGTTCTGGTCTCAGAGATTAAAGACTGCACCACCTTCAGAGTCCAGGATGAGCTGTCTAGCAACGACAGCACTGCTGTTATCAATATTTTAGTTCTGTGTTCACAATACTCCCAGCCTTGACACTTTAGTGTATGTCAGACACATCCAGCCTCTTGATACAATCCTCTGTTCAAATGCAGCAGGAGCATCTGGATTTCAGGCCAGAAATGAGAACTATTATTTAACACTTTAGCATTATGTAGGTAGCCATGAGTTTAAACACTCTGATTGTTCAGGGTCCACAATCTGCTGCCCTTGAATTACACAGTAATATTTTCCTTCCTTTCTCATCACACTGCTCAAAAATTTAAGCATTACCCTGAGCACTTACCAGGCCAAGCATACACTGAGATTCCTGTGATGCACCACAGCATCCCAAGAAACCAACCAGCATCATAAGAGCACCAGCTCCAATAAGGATGTAAACACCTAGGGAGGAGGAAAACAAAGGTATGCAGGTCACTAAGGCCTCAGCAGCAAGGTATGAAGTTAGTTGCTCCACAAATAGCATTGATAGCTTTTGCCAAGGTTTAAGTTTCTTTACCAAGGTGTTTCAAGGAATAAAAAAAGGGGGTTGTGCCTAATTTTAAAAGCAAATGCATCTGAAAAATTGAAATCTAAAATCTTCATTTTGACACAATGTGTACCCTTACTGCAGTTTCACAAGCTTTAGAAAATGGGCAAGATAAAGCCATCTAAGACAACCTGTAAGACACTCTATTCAACAGGCTCAGAGCCAAGGGTTATCAGCTTCTCCTCAGGTGAATATAGAGACAACTGGAATTAGAGACAACTGGAATAGAGATTTATCAACAACGCAAAGTCTTGAAGCAGATGCTTCTTCAGGTTATAAAAAGTGTCAGAGCTTGTAAACGATTCTGCCCAGAATAAGGTAGTGAGTATGCTGCAGAAAGAGCAAACATTTCTGAGGTAAAAGGCTCCATTTACATCAAATCCTCTGGCTCCTGAACTTGGGAACAACCAGCCTAATCATCATAGCTGTGATGGAGACAGCAGCAAGACATGGTGAGCAAGAAAACTCCCAAAGGATGGTAAAGGGTATTACAGGGGTGCTGAAGCATCAAAGAATCAGCACAAAGCACATGGAACAAGCAGGACACTTCTATCAATAGGGACATAAAAACAATTCAATACTAATTAAAGGGAGCTAGATGTAAGCTTTTGAAAATTATGTATTCTAGATGCAAACCAATAAGATTAGCTGCCAAAACAAACAGCTCACTGATGCAGCATTTGTAACGGATTAAGCTTGACATTTCTTATCAGGAAGAAATTCCAATATGGACTTTTTAACCTCAGTTCAACATTTTTCCATTTTGAAAACGAAGGAAAAGAGTCCATCAGTACCACTTATTCCAGATTAAGTTGTACAGGAAGCCTTTGAGGTAATTTGCTTTGTAACTTACTGCAGTCAGTAATTACTCCCAGAAAATTATGTTAAAGCAGAAATTCCTACTGAGCTTCTTTTTAAAACTCAGTTGAACCTACAGAGATTTCAAGCAGGTTCCATGGGCTGCATCCAGCCAATAGCTTAAGCATCACACCATAAACATTTTATGTTTTAGGAAGTGAAAGAGTTGTTTTAGACTACCCAAAATAAGACTTGTTAAATATTCAGCTCAATATTCAGCCAAGTTTAGATTTCTGTTCTTTTTCTGAGATCCACTTAGAAGCATCTGGGAATCTTCTTGGCAGCTCCAAGAACCACCCAGTTTGCTAAGATGCCATCATATCAAGTGTAAACCACAAATTTTCTCACAGATAACCTGTTTGCATACCTGCAGCTTCTTTGTGAAGTCCCACGAGCATCTCTATTCCTAACTATGGCCTCTACACCATTCCTAACAGTATTCCCTGCAGGCACAGGTCACCCTAGGACTAAGAGGCTGCAACAGAAATTGCACCTCCTTGCAAGTGACCCTACAGACACCAGCCTGGGAGCTGTCACAGCTGAGTAACCAAGGACAGGAGCCAGTTTTTTGGCCAGAGAAAGATGAAGCTATCTTTTAAAGACTTTAACAAGTGCCTAATTAAAGACTGTCTAATTCCATTCCCCTGCCATGGGCACTTCCAGGGATGGGGCAGCCACAGCTTCTCTGGGCAACCTGTGCCAGGGCCTCAGCACCCCCACAGGGAAGCATTCCTTCCTGATATCCAATCTAAACCAGTGTGAAGCCATTCCCACTTGCCCTGTCACTCCAGGCTCTTGTCAAGAGTCTCTTTCCATCTTTCCTGTGGGCTCCCTTCAGGTACTGGAAGGCCACAGTTGGGTCACCCCACAGCCTTCTGTTCCCCAGGCTGACCAAACCCAATTCCCTCAGCCTTTCCTCATAGCAGAGGTGATCCAAGGGTCTGAGCATCTACAGGTGGCAATAACCAAATTACATGTGTTCCCCTGCCCAACCTTAAAAGTGACTGTAGAGATCAAAGTTTAGATAAAATCCAGTTAATTTAGGAATTCCTGTGACATTAAATTAAAAATGTGCATTTCCTCTAATGACCTTACAAACACCTTCCCCATGGTCTAGCTAAAGCTACATTGATCCATGCTGGCTGGAATAATTCTCATATGTACCAAGATATTTGTGCATTCTTCCCATTCAGTTCAGGATGAATTAGGAGATGTGGGGCTTTAAGAGTTAGACAACAGTGCACGTGCTCCTTCTGAAAGATGAGGCAACAGAGTTGTGTTTTGGGTAAGCTCAGGTTGGTCACTCTGGAGAAAAAATATTAATTACTCAATTAGTTTAGCGTGAAACTTTGCTGACGCATATGGTGATAAACAGCAGGAAGAAACATCCTCTGTGTCTTCCAGGAGCCCCTGGGATTACAAAATGTTTACTGAGAGCAACAGAGACAAACTACTGTGGGAAAAAGGCTGAAGAGCCAAGAAACCACTCACATGGCAGCACTGCTGTCTGCACAAGAGCTCACAGGGGAAGCTGCCCCTAACACCAGCCAGGGGAAGCTGCTCTTTGGCTGTTTAGGGCTGTTTTGCCTTTTTACCCTTTATGAAAGGCCAAGGTTTCTGAGCAGCCTGGAAATCATGGCACAAAAGTGTGACCTATCTCCTGCATGATCCCCCAGCTTACCTGTGTAAAACTTTGTGTCCGGTTCCAGTTCAAAGACACTTTTGGTCTGTGAATCAAAGTGAAGCCATAGTCCAACTGCAAGCACTGCTGTCCCTGCAAGCTGGAAGAATAAGGAAGGCTTGTTAAATGATACCAACTAATCCATCCAGCTTTGCATTAATAACAAAATCAGAAACAAACACAGGATACAGCTTTTATTTAAAGAGGTGGTGACAAAGGACAAGCATAAAAGGATGGGGATATCAACACATGAACAAAGTCCCAGACATGAGGCACCTTGTTGACAGAGGCATTTACATAATATAAACTCCAATGCTACAGGAGAACAATGCTATTCTTGATCGTTTCTGAAAATATCCACAGTTTAGCCAAGTGTCAGTATTGCCACTGATCCTTACACACATTGTTTTATTCTGGGTGGATGCAGACATTGCATGGCTTCGTGACCTTAAAGCTTCATACTGAAGAGCAAAGTGTATCACAAGGAAAAGTGCCTTGTAAGGCCAGCTGGAAGTTTTAGTGTATTAAGCACACTGCTGAGAGTTCAGTGTACCATGGAAGGGAGTTCAAGCAGAGTGCTGTTCTTGCCAAACAAGATAAAACCAACCCATTAAGTGACCACACTGACAGGAATAAGAAAATACCAGCTGCAGCAATAGAATGTTGCTGATCTGGAGCAATACAATCAAGTTTTAGGTAATATTTAGTTTTATTTCATTATCTCTGCCTGCATGCTTCCAGGGTCATCTTAACATTGGTGCCTGTGTTTGCAGCAAGTCACTATGTATAAATTAGCCTATGGATGAAATATCTGGTGAAAGCCACAGGAAGTGTTGCAAGAAAGAGGGAATTGCACTCTGGTAAGGCCAATGGCAACAGTTTGCTTTGAAGAGACTGAATCCTCCTTTAAAAAGAAAAAAAAAAGGGGGGGTGTTCTCACATGTAAAAACATGAAGAAACCAGGAAAAAGTATAAAGCTAGAGTGTGCTTCTCAGCTCTTCCTTTGAAGACCATTTAACTATTAAAAAAAGCTCTACAAAAGTGAGATGAGGACAGAAATCTCAAACACTGCAGCAGATATAAAAAATTTAAACTTAAGATTGAGCAATAAGCTTATGAAGTCTGGTGCTTTGGCCAGGCAAAGCACACAAAAATAAAATCCCAACAAGGCCTGACCCCTGATAAGAAGGTCCTTGCAGAAAGAAAAGACATTCCTGATTTAACGCTAAGAAACTGGGAATTGTTTAATAATGGCAATTTTTAGCGGGAATATGGGCAGCATTCCATTGGTGAGCACCCAAGGATACAACCAAGCCTTACACACCAAGCCTACCTGAGAGGTAGGAGTCTGTGAGCCCCTTCTCCCTGCTGTGAAAGAGCTCCTGCTCACAGACAGCCCAGCTTTCGTAAACCAGCTTTTCCTGTATGGCAGGAACCCGAGTGCCAGACCTGCCTCCAAGAGGAGCTGCAGGGCTGTAGCTGGGAAAACAGATCAAGTGACACACAACCCAAAGAGCCAAACCCACCTGGAGGATTCCAGACCTAAGCAAAAGGCCTCGTTGGCGTTTCTGGTGTACTCTCAAGGCACACCCGCACACACCTCCTGCTTGCCTTGCTAGGGCTACCCTGACAATATGATTAAGTTATGCTGGAGCACCTTGGTACGATACAGAATGCCACAACAGCATCATTATTTCAATTTCTTGTGCCACAGCTGCACCCCGAGGGGAGGGAGAGGCACAAAGGGGAGCTGACACAGAGAAGGGTTGCTGCTCTACCTGCTCTCCTGGCTGCAGCATCACTTCAAAAAGTCTTTGCCACCTCATCTCACCTCATTGCCTCTGTTCAAACATCAGAAAGGCTTAGTGATGGAAAAAACTCTGCTTTGAAACTGCTGTTAAGTCACCCAGTGTTTAATAACACTCTGCTTGAGGCTCCTTTTCCTGGTTGTGCAGCAGTCATCATTTATAGCTGATTCAGATCCCCATCATTAGAAGACGCCTAGAGCCTCTGCTGGTTTTGCCAGGAACTCACAAATTGTGAAGCCACAAGCCTGAACACCCAGCTCATCTCACCTACCAAATTTATTTACAGCTTGACAAGCTCCAGTGCTTGAGTAGAGAGCTCTGCAATTGGAGCAGAGCACAGAAAAGGACTATAAAACTAAAGAAACTCTTAAGCCATACTGTAACCATGCACATAATCTTTAAATTCCAAGCAAAGGAGAAGGCTCAATTAATGCCCTCCAGAAACAAACTGGTCTGTTCACATTGGGCAGACACGACGCACCTAATATAGCTCCTTTCAAAACACAAATTTAACTCTTCCCCACCACCACACAGAAGTATGTGGCATGTTTTCTCCTTGGAAAAGCAGTCACTCTGTGGGAAAGATTAAGAAGGTGACGGGGAGACAAGAGACTTACTGGATCACAGAACAGTGATAACACTTTGTGCCAGTGAACTGCTGCACAGCATTAAACACAGTGGTAGAATTAAACAGAGTGGTAATTCTCTGCATGGTGGATTAGAAATAAAATGCAGCTCCTTCATGCAAGAATAAGAGACTTTCTGTCTCCGTTTCTTAAGGAAAGCAGACTTACGTTCTCAGTTTGTGCTCTTCCTACCCAGACTGACCACTGAACTAAAAAAGGCAGTTTTAAAGCAGAGGACAAGAAACCTGAAGCTTCAAGTTTCCATCAAAACAAGGGAGAAACGAGGACACAGCAACACCAGCCTCTGAGGAAAAAAAAAGCACAGCCCCACGGGCACTTGCCAGCACCTGTGGCCAGTGTGGCACACTACAGGCTGAGGCACTGTCACCTCCCTGCTCACCCACGCTATGCCAGCAAGACGGGATCTGTGCTGGGAGGGTTTGGGAGCTGTTCTTCCTTCCTGGGAAAGGGGTGCAAGGCCCCCAACCTCGGCTGTGCGGAAGCAAATCACCAGATAACCTCATTGTTGGGTTTTTGTTTGGTAATCCAAGGGGATTCCCCATCTAACAGACCTATTCTGTCACAGGAGTTGAGCAATACTGTACGTTTCCAAGTAGCTCTATCCTGTGCTGAAAGCCAAATTTAGCAGCAAAAGAACACCACTGTATTCCTGAAAGTAGTCCATTTTGTCTGGCTTCACACACACAAAGAAGAGAGTGGGTTTGTGTGCTTATCAGACAGGTAAGCAGTTATATTTCTATAGTGGCAAGTACAGCAAAAAGAGCTCAGGGTTGGGGTTTTTTTCCAATCCGGACAAAATGTGAAGTTAAAGGGATACTGCTGACTCGATGTTTTGGAGAAATTTGTGGCAGTGATTTTCCAGTAACGGCATGTCCTGGCACAACTACACTACTGGCTTCCCACTCCAGCAAACCAGGCTTCCTTGTTTTCCCCAACCACTATTCCCAGCTCACTCCTGGTCTGCTTGGAGCTGCATGGCTGCAACAATGATAAAACTACCTGGCCACTCCTCTCTTAGCCCTGAGGAGGCTTCTCAGGTTGTTTTTTTTTTTCATTACATGCAAACACACCCCCTTGGCCCCTAAAGCTCACTCCCGCTTGCAGCTTTCTGCCTGTTGCAACAGGAAAAGCAGCTTTTTTGGTCTGTCTTCCTTTCTTACATAGCCCTGCGCGTTCCCTCGTGAGCCTCCTGTGCAGGACTTCCCTCCTCTCCCCCATCCCACGGCTCTGGTGCGTCCCCCTTGCTTGGCCTCTGGGTACATCTAAGAGTGTGTCCCAGCCTCCCATGTGAGAAGATACAAAGGACCTGAACCAGTCAGGATACACTTGAGAAAACCTGGAGGCAGCCGCCACACCGAACACTCTGCCTTCCTCCCCTCACCATCCCTGGCTAACTTGAGCACGAGTTCGGAGTGTGCCTCAGCATTGAACACTACCAAACAATTCCCACAGGATTTCTGCCCCGCTCCGACACCCGAGGTTTTGCAGATACGGCTCCCCCAGCAGAAGGCTTGCACAGGAAACCCTTAATGATAATGCCGTAAATACGTATTAAAACCCTGAGATTTAAACAAAAAACACCAAAACACCAATTGTGTTAACACATCCCATAGCAGCACAATGTGTGACACTATTTTGGAAAGCTGGGAAGTTTATTTTGGATTTAACCACTATTTTGCAAGGACCGTTTTGGTCAGTCCCTTCTGACCTTGTTCCCTTGTTAAGAGACAATCACCTTGACAAGGGACAAGCACCCCACTTGCCTCGGACATCTTAGAGCAGCTTATCTTTCCATAGGCGGAATCAGTTCTCAAGGAGCTCAAGGTCCAAGCACTTACCAAGTCCTCAGACAGTCCTTTGTCTGTCCTGGCAGACAAAGCTTTTGGCAAGGAATGGGAAGGAGACACCCTCCCCTAGCCCTTCTCCACTTCCACAGGGTGGAGGCAGGGATAGGGAAGAAATCAGACAGTTCAAGAATGCCTGATAAGTGGCTCAAAGCCTGTTGAAAAAAACGCCCTTGCACAAAAAAAAAAAAAGTGGGTCTTGCCATTTTGGTACCTTTAGGGCCAAGTTTACATACAACTTCTACCAAGCTCATGGCATCACCTCCAGCAGAAAGGTTAAGTCATTATATGAAAATAAAGAAGCCAGTCAAAAATAAATACTACTTTCAGTGTTGTCAGCTAAATATGGTATCTAACAGAACACTTTCTTTTTTTTTTCTTCAAGTAAGAAGGTATGTCAGGCTCAACACTACTGTTACATATATAGGTTTACAACACCAGGATGGGACAAGAAGGCATCAAAAAGTCATCACCTTCACTTCATAAACACTTGAACTTTTAGCTAAAAATCTGACTCCATAAGAATTTACTTCTTATTTACTTCTTTACTGTTTTAGACTGAACTAAGAAAGCCAGGATCAGATCTATAATGTTGCAAAGCACAGGGAAAGAAATTGAGAACATTATGAGTAGTAATGAACTGTTTCTGTCCTTTTACTGGCTGGTACTCCATAAATAAAAACCCATAAACAGTAACTATAAGTGAAGTTCAACATCACTCTAAACCCTCAATTACAGAATTAGTGTTATCCACAACAGAACAGGTTTTCAGAGTTTTGAAACCGCTCCCCTAACACTCGT